AATTTTGTCAATCATCAAGTCTCCTTCTTTCAGCTTCTTGGTCCATTTCGCTGTAATGGAAAGTTGCTTCAGTTATCTGACGAAATTTGATGATAACTTGCAAAACACAGAGGTAAAAGGAACGTAGAGCCTTTTTATACCTGAAAGTGCTTCTATAGCCTCCTTGCACGAATCTCTCAGTGTTAAAGTCTGATTGATCTGTTCAGTGCCATAAACGCTTTTAAACTCGGTCCAAAACTCTTTCATATCTCTTTCAAAGAGCGTTATTTCATCTTCTGTCTTTGCGTTAGCCATGGTGCAGCGACAGCCCTGTCAGTGAACAGACACAGCGTCACGACACGGGAGGCAGTGCCCGCGGGTGTAACTCACGGAATAAACCCTCGCAGCTGCTTTGGTCCCCTCGCCTTGTTGTTGAAACCTCTTCCCGCAAGTTGTTTGTTGTTTCTTTGGGGGTTTTTTGTCACCACTGGCTCAGCGGGAGCGGCGTTCCCCTCGCTCCTCTCCCCGCGCTCAGGGCCAGGGGAGGGCCCCGCCAGGGTTCCGGCGGCACCGCGGCCGCTGCCCTTCGCCGTCCCCCCGAGGGCTGAGCCCGAGCCCGGGCCGGGCTCTCGCCGGGCTCTGTCACCGGGCTCTGTCCCCGCTCTGTCCCCGCCGATCGCCGCTCCCGCCGGGCCCGCCGCGCTCAAACCGCGCCGCCTTCCCGCGCAACGGCCCGCGCGGCCCGCCCCGCAACAACCGCGCCGCTCATTGGCCCGGCCCGCCGGGACCCGCCCGCGCCGTGCCTGCGGTAACGCCGCGCGCGGGGGCGGGGGCCGCCGTGAGGGAGCGGGGAGGGAGCGGTGGCCGCGGGGAGGAGGGAGCGGTGGCCGCGGGGAGGGGAGCGGTGGCCGCGGGGAGGGGAGCGGTGGCCGCGGGAGAGCGGTGGCGGCGGGGAGCGATGAACGCGGGGAGGGAGCGGTGGCCGCGGGGAGGGGGGAGCGGTGGCCGCGGGGGCGGCTTGGCCAGGAGAGCTGTGGGGACTGATGGGCGATGCTGGGGGTCCGTCAAGGGCGCTGGGAACGGGGACAGCCTGCTCCGTGCTGAACAAAATGGGCGCTCTCTGGGGAGCGGGACCCTTCCCCCTCGCTCCTCTGAAGCCGCAGGTTGTTTCCAGGGTCGGTTTTACTCACAGAGCGTGGTCCTAAGTTTTGTGGGGCTCCTGACTTGCCTTTTAATTGCCCAGGCCTGAAATCTCTCGAGTGTGGATAACAACTCGCCCCTTAAGGTAGTTCGTTCTGAGGGAAGACTGACCCGCACCTTTTTGCTGTGAACAAACCTGTCTGTACCCAGTCAAACACTTGCCGTAAGCCTCTGCCATAGCGAATGTGCTCCTTTTGACACGCTGCCTAGTTTTTCTCTGGTGGTTTTTATTCCCTTTTGGCTTTTGATAAGCACTAGTTTGTGATCCCGGGTAGCACTCTTCGGTTTATCATGAAAGTTACTTTTAATCACTTTATTACCATAGGTAATGAATTTCTTGAAGCTTTACTTTTTGCCAGTGCTATTTAGATACGCTCATAATAATGTAAACTTAGTAAAGCGTTGAGCATTTATCTCTAAGAGAATTAATTACTGCCTTTCCCCCACTGGACCCAGAGCAAAGGCTGAGCTGAGACCACCAACTATTAGTTGTGTTACTCTTGTATAAACTTGTATAAACACTTCTCTCCCACTGTATTCCTGACTCATATGACTTGGACCCCTTCTCTAGATTTCACAGTTTCCTCAGCATTAGTCTTAAAACTAACAGACCTCTCTTTCTTATCTGCTTCACACTTAAATGTACTGAGGTTGGGCCTGTTCAAGGATGATTACCAAGCCAAGTATAAATTTGGGAAGAGGAAGAACGAAGGGGAAGGGGAGAGGGAGACAGGGAAGGGGAAGGGAGAGGGAAGAAAGAGAGCTTCTTGTAATATTCTTCTCTTCCTAATTAAAAAATGGAGGTGTATCTTCTCAGTGTTCCACTTGGAAAATATTTATACCTACGAAAATAGCTGTCAGCTGTTGTATGCAGTGTCTGGTGGTGAATTTAGTAAATTGCTCATTAATCCTTGTAGCTGGTCTAGTGCCAATGGCAGCACTGATATGGAAATTAATGCTATTGTTCAATTACCTAAGCATAATGTACCAGAAAGTTAGGCCCAGTACATAGGCCTCCATTAACAGATTTCAAAAAATGTTTGCTTTGATGGCTTTTCCTTCTCTTGCAAACATTTACTTAACAACATCTGATAACAGTTATGTAATATTTGCTCTAATATGTAGGTGCAAGGGAGCTGTAAACATTTTATCCTCCCTCCAATGGATCATCAGCATGATTCTTGTTTCTGCGTTATAACCAAGAATATATAAAGTCTCTAGTTTTGTATGTCTTGGAAAATAAAATAAATTGAGACGTTATCAGTAAATTAAAAACTGTTTATATGAACAGATGGCATTTTAAAGGTTTTCGGTTTGTACTTTGTGAAGGCCGAACCTTGGTTCTACAATGTCAAACCAGGACAAAAGTAAATGCATACACTTTCTGACCATTTTGTATACATCACTAGTTTTCCTTGCAGTTCTTCATGCTTAACTACAGCAAATTGTTTTATTTCATATGTTATCTCAAGTGACTTTGAAGTGCTAAGTGCATTATAGATGCATTTTACAGGTCTTTGCATAGAAAAGGACAAGAGGAAAGTCTATTGAGGAAGAATTTCTCCTTTGTTCGTTTAAACAAGTTATTAAATACAGTATTTCAAGACGTGTTTCGCCATCTTTTCTGGTTATTAGAGCTTGGAAAGTCTTTAGTGACTCAGACTTTCATTGGTTGTGAAATACCACAGGCAGGACAAGAGATGACTGGCATGTCAGTTGTGGATTGCCTCTTGGATGGAACAGGATCATGAGTGAGTCCAGGTACAATGAGAACTGTCTCTCTCACAGAAACCTGCTTACCTATTCCAAAAACTCCCTGCTTTCTGCTTTGCAGATTGTGGATTTCTTACGGTTTCTTAAACATCATATAAAAACATGACTCCTCTGGTACCTCTAAGGTGAGGATGCAGGAGCTTCTGAAACCCTCAGAAAGAATGTAGGAGAAAATTAAAGCTTTTTTATGTTTGCTGTTAGCTGTTAATCTTCATTAGGTCCAAGGCGTTTGTCTTCTACCTAAGCAGAAAGATAATCAGTGGCATAAGAATCAGCAGGAAAATCTTGAAAATTAGTATCAGGAGGCCTCCAACATTTAGACTAAAAGAGGTTACTTACTGAAACAAGGCCAGGACATACCTTCAAACATTATATTGACAAAGTTTCTGGAGAACAAAGTGTGCCTGAGTGTTTCTGTCTGAAGAAGAGTTCAGCCTGAGCAGATGCATCATATCCCGGTGGATAGATAACATGGGTGGGTGGGTTTATATTTGTAAATATAACAAACATGCAAAAAGTTATTGCAGTGATCCTGCACATCCTGTGTCAGAGGCAACTTTCATGATACCATTGCGTAACTGTGGTGCCATTAAAGAGGGCCTGTAAAGGGATCTATTTAATTACTTGGTATACACTCCTTAAAGGATATGAAATTGTATCTTGATGGAAACTTACTCACTTACTGCAAAATATTTTTTCCTAATAGAACAACAGTTATTTCAACGTAGCAACTGCGATGAGGTTAAGTACTAAAAGATTGTTGTTGTTCATCTACCAACTGAATTGACATTTACATTCACGTTTAAAGCTAATTATTGTTTCTGAACTAGATTGAAAAAGAGAGGAAAAACTTAGATTCTCCACATTTTTCCATACTAAACCCAGGCATGTATAAAAGAGTGATTTTTAGTGTTGTTATTGTAAGTCTTACTTGTCTTTAAAGGCAAGATACTTTTGCAGTTAAAAAATGTAGCCAAAGGACATTTTCTTTAGTGATAAGGTATAAAGAGTTATTTGAGAGAGATATTTCTATACAAGTACAATCTTGAAAAAGAACTGGGAGAGGGAAAATTATTTCCATCTGTTCTTTTATATGACAATTGCCTTGCCGTACACTGTGTAAAGCAATAAACTATAAGGGTTAGCAAGAAACAAACCTCCTCAAATATTTTCAGCTAAAAAACTCAGAAATATTTATTGTTGAAATACCCTGAAATTTTGCTTTTGGAACGGTTTTCCTTGAAATCAGATGATACCAGTTGAAGTGAGTAATTCAGTCCATGTAGTTATTCAGAAACAGTGCACAGAATTTTAAATCTCTTTTAAATTTTAAGGTTTTCTGTTAAGCTCAATGCAACTGGTAGCAATAAACATACAGGATTTAAAACTGCAAAAAAGTTTCTAAAACCAGACTATTAATAGGTAAAGTAAATGTGAGATTGTGTCAGGAGGAGAGGTCTTCTAAGTCCATTTAATTGTCATGCCTTATTTGTTGAATCTACTTAATGTTTCCATGTGACTTCCCTGACCACACATCATAAAGCCCTGGTAAGCCATTAAGTCTCTCTTCAGCACAACCAGTTAAGTAGTTCATACCTTTGTCTCCACAACTTCTGCAGCTGAGGTTGAAGTGCCATGGAGAGAGCAGTAGGGAAGTGTGCAGTGCATATATAGAGCTGCTTTCATCTTCGGGCTCAGATACATAGATAATCTTTGATAGAAGATATGAATATATTGGAATATTGGAGTCTGATAAAGAACTTGAAATTTCCCTCCTGCTATTCTGATAATATCAGAAGATGATATCATCAGGCTTTTAGTATCCATTTAATATCTAGTGCAAAAAGTTTTTTTCATCTAGCCACCTCATGAATTAATGTAATCTTTTCCTGTGCTACATTATTGGTACTAGTATTGATAAATCTGATATGCTACTATATTATCTGCTGTAACGTTTTAGAATCCTGCTTTGTGGAAGAATCTGTTTCCTCTTGGCTGTTTGCCCTACAGAACCAAAATGCTTCACTTGGGAATACTTCAGGGTAATACTCATAATCATCTGTTCCCAACCTTGCTCTGGTTTGCAAAGCAGGTCTCATTTCTGCATGAGACTGGGCAGTCAGAAGTGGGACTGCAGCTCCTGGAAAAACTGTGCAGGACTTGCATCATGTAAGCAATGCAAAGAATGGTGGTACCGAATGATGTCTCAGAGACTAAGCTTCATCTGCATTGTGCCCTGGCTTAACAGGCCTCTTGTGTGAAGGAAACAATTGTTTTTCAGTGTTTTAAGAATATTGCTGCTTTAAAAATAAATCTATAGCTCAACAGCCTCATTGATGTATGGATGCTGGTTGTATTTTCCGTGACTGAAAAATGAGTTGTCAAAGTATGAGTAGCAGCACGGTAGCCAAGTTCTATTTCAAAGTGAAATGTACAGCTTTAATGACAGTTCTGCAAAGATCAGTTATTTGTGTATTCTTTCTATCCTTTATGCAGGCAACACTTAATGAAGTACACACATTACTAATGTCCATCCTGCAGAGAAATGAGCTGTGAAAAAATTTAAGCAAACATGTTCCAACTGTTCATACAAAGGATTACATAAGTCACACATTATGTTTCCACAAAACTTTCCCCACAATTTGCTGCTGCTCAGCATGTACTTCACTTAGCTTCCTCTAATTAAAATTTGCAAACAGAAAAGCTTTCCAGGGCTAAGAGACTCGTGCTTTCCCAGAGTTTTGGAGCCACGTGTTTCAGGAATGGCTGGGTACACCACACCAATATAATATAAAGGCAACGTCAATCACCTTCTCTCACTTTTTAATAGCTCCCCTCCATGGTTCTCATTCTCTCAGTAGAAACTAAAGATTAAAGGAACTTTACTATATTTCAAGTACAGTTTAATCCATTAAGATGGATCTCCTTCATAGCAATGGCGTGCTTATCATTCAGCATTTACAGAGGGACTACAGGGCTTACCAGGATTTCCTTAATTTTATGTCACATGTCGGTGATCCGCGGAATATATTCTCAATTTATTTTCCTCTTTGGTTTCAGCTCAACCAAGTGGTTGGTACTAAAATGATATGGGTGGCAGTCATTGGTGATTGGTTCAACCTCATATTTAAATGGTAAGAAGTTGGATTTCTTTTAAAATTTGGTATTTTTAATGATAGTTACTATATGTGCCTCAAGTTTAGAAAACTTTCTGTGAATAATGTACTAGTAGACTTTCCCCTGTAATTATAAAAGAGGAATTCACAATGCAGGTATTTAAGATATGTTTGAAATGACATTGTGATAAGACGAGAAGAACCTGTAGAACTATTATAGAATAGTTTTGGCAATACAGCTCTTCATATGCTTTATAAGATTATCATGTTTTACTGAGGCCTTCTTACATAAAAATATTTTCATTGAGTTTCTGCTTTATTTTATTTTATTTTTTTTATCAGGATTTTATTTGGCCATCGCCCATACTGGTGGGTGCAAGAAACAATGATTTATCCTAATCAGTCAAGCCCATGCCTTGAACAGTTTCCTATAACGTGTGAAACTGGACCAGGTAAGAAATGTTGGAGATGACATTGGTACATTTAATAGGGATAGTGGTTTTGAGGGAGAGAGGATGTGACTTATGAAGGTCTTACATGATATACAAACCTCAGAGCTCATGTATAAAATAACACCAAAAAAAAAAAAAAACAAAAAAACCAACAGAAAAAAAAAGGAAGAAATACAATGTGACCGGTGTTTGATTGCTGTATGACAAAATGTTTACTTCATTGCCTTTAAATAGTGCAAGGGAGGGGCATTTACTCTAAAAATAACTACTAGTAGAATGAACTAGCATATTGGAAAGGAATTTTCACAGAACTTGTGAAATACATTGTTTAATATGTTCCAAAATATTAAACTGTTGAGTTTGAGGTCCGGTGCACTATTGCAAGAAATATTCAAACCCCAAAAACTAGCAGGTGGTTCAGTGTAAATAACAATAGTATCAATAATTGTTGATGTAATGTATCATGAGTGGAAAAGGTAACCACTCTTCCTAGAACTAGACACTGACACTAAATGTGTGTGGGAGTATGTGTACAAATATATGGGGGAAAATTATTTTTAAAATGTACTTTTTCTATGTATTTTCACTTTTTCATGTCCTGTTGTCTTTTCTGTGGAACTCAAATGCAATACCGCTGAAGTCAAATGAACTTGTGCAACCCTAGTATGTGAAATAAGATGAATTTGCTTTGAGCCGACTGACTGAATTTAGTTTAATTCATTGTGCAAGAAAATATTGACTGTGGAAATTAATGTGCTTTGCACCTCATCAATGCCACTGCAAGCTTTAAGGCAATTTGCAAAGCTGTATTTTGTTAACAATATCCTGCATTACATTCCACTGTAATTGTGAACAAGAAGTTTAAGCCCTTGTATGAGGCAGAGTTTAATAATGCCTGGTCTGTATGAGATCTGCAGTCTCCTTCAAGTGAATTCATTTGGGACCTAACCCAAAGTATTAAGGTAATTCAGGTCTTTTCAAAAGCCTTCAGAACTGAGCGCATTCAGCACCACGTAGTTCCAGGTCATGGCTAAGGAGGCAGTCAGTGTTTTCATTCTATTCATTGAACCAGAAGGTCTTTCTTCTTGTTACTTTCTTCCTGAAGTAACAAGTCATTGCTATTTCTGTCCAGTGGGTACAACTGTCATACTGATTCCTTCTTTGCACTTACAAGGACCACACTTACCCCACCTCCAGATTTGCCCTGAACCATTGACAATATCTGTCACTGATCTGCTCCTCATTTACAAGAGGAGGTGCAGTCAGTGCAGCTGTTAAGCACACACAGTTGTTGCATGAGCTTACATGGTACTTCACACACTTTTTAAATATGCAATTTATATTAAAAGAATAGAGAAGCAGCCACAGACATGAGAAAAGCAGATCCAAATATTACTATGATAGCGTGAACCCCAAACTCCACGGCTCAGCAAGAGGGAAAACTGTGGGAACTGTTTATATGACTACATGGCAAGCAGTCTAGGACCTGAATTTGGTTTGTACTTCTGGAATTAGATGAACTAAAACCCTACTGCCATTTTTTCTCTGGTATTTTTAAGGCTTTAAGAACATAAACCTTGAGGTGAAGTTTATGCTGTTTCTAGTAGGTAATTTGCAGATGAACTATGAAACATTATTCTTAGATGACATTTTCCTAAATGACAAAAAAGAGGAGCTTTCCCAATGCTGACAGACAACATTATGGTTTCCTTATCAGTGACATTTGTTCTGTTGAGAGGTTTAGGAGTGCACATCTGTTAGGTAATTAACAAAGGAGCTGGTAGAGTGACTCTAAAGATGCTGGCAAGCAGAATAGCAAAAATGAGTGCACAGAGTCAGAAATCATAGTGCTTGTCTAGGCAGTCCTGCTTTGCTACTTCACTGAAATATCCTTTTGCTCTACACACTGCTATATAGTTATGGATCATAACACTTTCTTGAACCAAAATTATTTCTTCTGACAGTGAAATAATCCTGTCCCTTTTACTTCACTTTGTCTCCACAGAAAGCCAAGCTGTAAAAATACAGGATTGACAGATTCCAGTGATCTGATTTTCTCTCTTTCCCTATTTTAATTTGTTGAATGTAAACTGGGTGAACAGGAGAAAAGAAGTGACAGAGTAATTTTAGGAATCATTTCCCTTGCATCATGCCAGCATACTTTGTTTTTTGGTGATTTTCACAGTTGTAGGAACTTTTCTGAGGTTTCATATTGTTTCCAGTAAAAATAAAATTTGATTTGTTAAATTAAAACAAATTGCACACATATTATTATAACCTGGACTAAAAGGAAATTACTGCTGATCTCTATATGACTGTGTTCCCTGTTACAGACTGTGGGTACAGCGATTGGTTGGATATGTTACAGCATCATTTCATGTGCCAGTTTCACTGAAACTCTATTTTCAAGCTAATTGATATGTATGACATTTTAAAATTTATAAATCAAACTAAAGTATAAAGACACAGTTCTTCGATCATGCTTGAGATACATTTCTAAATTTATTACAAACTACCCAAAATGTTAATTACCTGGATTGTGATATTATTAATGAGACACAGATCCCAATTGTTCACACCATAATAATTGTGGAAGCAGATAAAAGGCAGTTTGGACAGGTCATGTAAAGTTACACTGGTAGTTTAGTTTAGAATGTTACAAAGAGCTAAATCTCTCTTGCTCCCCTTAATTATGAGGAGGCCCATTCAAACCCTTTCTCATCTGATCCTCACATATAACTTCTACATTCCATGCTACAGAGTAAGAGAGTCCTAGATGCCTTTTTATTTTTTTAAATCACAGTCCAAATCTAAATAATGGGAAAATGCTATGCTGTCCAATCAAGATTCCACCTCACACTAATATAAGATGGTTAAGCTGTTACCTACTTGATTTCAGACAAATATGGCTTCCCTATAGATGAGAAATTCATATTGAGAAAATTAAATTTTGCAAAGCAGTTGACATTCTTTCAGCCTTTGTTAGCCACTTCCTTTCTAAATGATTGGGTGCCTGAGTAACTGCCAGTTGACATTTTCTGTATGACAAATGCTACAGCCATCATTCTTAAGCTGAATATTTCCTTTTTGTTTTCACTAGGAAGCCCATCTGGACACGCCATGGGATCATCCTGCGTCTGGTATGTAATGGTCACTGCAGCACTTAGCTACACAGTTAGATGGAAAGATAAATTAGCTGTTACCCTTCACAGGTCAGTGTCTTTCCATTCCTCTGACTCATACAGATAATTCTTTATATACATGCTGTGTTTTTAATGGACTTAATTTAAACAAATAGTCATCATCTGTTCTATCCAGTTTGTAAAACAAAATAGCAGTCCTTTATTATGATCTGCCTCAGCTAAAGAAAAAGTATGTTAAGGGGATTTAGCTACTTATATATGTTCTTATTTATTAAATTACCATCATTGCATACAATGTCTCTGAATCAGCTCCTATTAAAGGTTGTTTCACCTCTTCAGCATTGGAAATTTTTAATTCTATTAATTGTCGTTATGTATTGGATCCTTTAGTTAGTACATAAATTTACTGCTTTGATGGTCATCCTTCTTAGCCCATTTTAAAGCAAATGCCCATAATGTTGACACAGTTCACTGTAGTGTGTTACTCAACTCTGCGGGAAAGTCTTGTAATTGCTGTCAAGCCTGACAAATTTACATTATGTAAATTTTATCATGACATAATTGAACTTTTACATTTAGGTATGACTTCACAATGAGAAATATGCTCAGGGTCCTAGTGCTAATTTAACCTACCATGCATGACTTTCATCCCTAAAGCCACAATGGTGTCTTGGACCTGGAGCTGCTGGGGTCTCTTCCTGTAACCACTCTTGATAATGTTTAAGTACTGACGTCCAGGTTTTAATCATCTGATTCTAAACTGCTCTACTTGGTAAATCTCTGCCTGGTAAAAATATGAGCCTGACACAATGGAGCTTGGGATAAATTAGTAGATGAAATAGTTTGTCTTAATTTTTAATAATTTTCCTTTTCTCTCTTAGACTGACATGGTCATTCCTCTGGAGTATTTTTTGGATTATCCAGATCAGTGTGTGCATCTCAAGAGTATTCATAGCAACACATTTCCCTCATCAAGTTATTCTTGGAGTATTTGCTGGTAATGTTGCTATTTTTTCTTTTCTTTTTAACATGTTTGCAAAATCTCAAAAAAAATGAAGTATGAGAAAAGACAAGAGATTTTTAGTAGTGCTACTCATCTTGCAGCCTCGGTAGTGTTCTCCTCTCTCTGGAAGGTCAAGGATTTGATTATTATCTAAGGTCTAAAGGTAAAATTTGCAAGGTTAGAATGTACCTACTGCCTTTGTAATTCACACAGTGAAGGGAGTGAGCTTTTGTCCACCTGCCAGTTGATGCTGAAGTGTGTTATGTCCACACTGCCTCAGACTAACTCTGACTGATTCGTAGTGGCTGCATCCAATCTTTGACTGTGCTGCCTGTGTGGAAGGTATTTAGGTCACTTCAAGTGGTGTCCAGGTGCAAACTGGCATGCGTGCAGTGTGGAAAAGTGTGGGGCCAGAGACCTGGGGCAAAATAGAGAAAAAGGTGAATCAGCAGTAAAAACTCCCCAAAGTGATTTAAGAAGCCGAAGGACATTTTTCAGAGTTACTTAAGCATGTTGCAAATTGGTATTCAGGGAGTTCAAACTATGAACAATCTCTCTAGTATCTATCTGATTTTATGGAGGATGACCAAAGCATTGAACAAGAGCTACCCTGCTCCTGTTCTCTTTCATGGATGCAGTGCAGCCTGGGCAGCCCTGGCTAACAGCTTTCCCTCTTCACAACCAGGATAAAATGAGTATGAGAGAAGATAAGTGTGTTCTGTGTCTTTTCCTTCAACACTCAAAGCCTGTGTGGGAACTGGTGTTGAATTCTGCATTGCTGGAGCCAGTCTTTGAGTGAGGGATTCTTTTGGAAAAGGAATGTTCCAGTTTACATCTAATATTTGATAGGTTGTCATCTGGGAGATGCAGTCAGGCATCATATCAAAACCATGTAGTGCTCGGTATTTAATTTCTTTTATCTAAATTGGCAGTTTTGAGTGGAAGAAAAGGTTTTGTAATGGATTACAGAAGTGGTAAATTGTGTGTATGTGTATATATACACATAGATATGAAAGACATATTCTTCTGTCTTCAAAAGTCAAATTCTACAGGCACACCATAGAAAGTGCTTCTTCAAAGTGTGTTGTTCCCTGTAACACTGAGTTTCTAATCCACAGGCATTCTTGTGGCAGAAGCATTTGAGCATACCCCTGCTATTCAGACTGCGAGCTTGAGAATGTACATCAAGACAAACTTGTTTCTTTTCATCTTTGCCCTTGGGTTTTATCTATCCCTCAAACTTCTTGATATTGACTTGTTATGGTCTGTTCCAAAGGCCAAGAAGTGGTGTGCCAACCCAGAGTGGATAAACATTGACACAACTCCATTTGCTGGACTGGTGAGGAATTTAGGGGCACTCTTTGGTTTAGGTCTTGGAATTAATTCTGAAATGTTCATCACAAGCTGCAAAGGTAAAAATAGCTGCAAGCTAAGTTTCCGCATATGGTGTATAGCTGCTTCTTTAGCTACACTGCAGCTGTATAATTTCGTTAAGATACCTACTCATACTGAGTATTTGTTCTACATTCTCTCCTTCTGTAAGAGCGCAGCTATGCCTCTGACTGTAGTTGCCTTGGTTCCATACTGTGTCCACTCGTTAATGAAGACAACTGAAAAGAAACTTAATTAGGTAAAGGTTCAAAATGGTTAGCAATGTGGGGATGGGTATGAGCTGTTCAAGAACCCTCTGCAAAGGCGGTTTTGCTAACTCATTTTAACCAAAGGGATGCTACTGCATCTTTGATGTCCTCCTGGTAAGTAACCAGTACATCCAAAATCAGTATGCTCCAGAATGACTTTGGCAGCTCAGAAATATTAGTTGCTGATTCCTAGAAATATTGCAAGCACCCTGCAGTATGGTTAGAAATGGCCCAATATTCTGGGTCATAACAAAGTTTTAAAGCATAATCAACTAGTTTTATTTAGCTATATGGTGGTCTTTAAGTTCTCTCCATCTCTAGCTAGATGATGCTTCAAGCGTCAGTTGTACATATACTCGGTATTAATTTTTTATATATAGATACTGTGTGTTAAACTGCTACATAATGGTGTGACAGTATCACACCACCTACCACTGTACGGCTGTACCCAGGCACTGTGAAAAAGGCCAGCGTAGTTATAAGCAAGGTTTTACATTTAACTTATTGAGCTTCCTGAGCCAAACGGCTTCTGATTAAGTCAGATGAGAAAAAAAAAAAAAGTTTATTTCCATTATACTCTGTAGAATATATTTTTGCATTACTATGTGGGTTTTGTCATTGTTACTTTTTCAAAGTGGTCACGTAAATCATGAATGATACAGATCACACCTTTGAAAGTTGTCAGTGATGAAATTCTCTCAATGTATGTCCTCAAGGATATTGTTCATGCTCCTATATTGCAAAGGTAACTCTCTGCTAATTCTCTCAGATCAAGAGACACAAGCCTGAATCACTGTCAGTAGTTGTGTAAATCATGAAAATGTGGTTGCAGACTGTCATTGCAACTTTATATTCTTGTCAGCTTTGTTTACCTAAGCACACAAGTAGCTAATATGTTAAATATGTTTGCTATATAAAATGGATGTTCTAAATAGGCAAAGGTGGGTACTTTCCATTTTTACTCATTATTTGGCATCTACTGTTGTATATTCCCTTTCAGTGCACAATTTTTAAGCAATATTTTGCGGATACCATCTCGTAATACTTAGTATACAAGCTCTTTATACAATAGCCTTAGTATACAAGGCCATAAAATGGGTAATGAGGGCTGTGTGTGTATGATCTAAAAAAAAAAAAATGGCTTAAAATATGCAACCATGATAGTGCTTCTAGACTTCCAATTAGGTGTGGGATAATTCAAATTGAAAGATTCTTATTTAATTTGGGTAAACAAGGTGAATAGTTTTGTGTTGGCCCTTAGGAATAAACATTATACAAATTACAGCAGCAAATCTGAAACAGGCATCCTTATTTAAGAGCCTAGTAAGACTACCTCGACTTAAAAAAATGAGTCATCTGGTTTTAACAGTTTGAGGAGTATTCTGCTTCATGTATCTCCTCATATCTTCTGTAATGGATCTCTTAACTCTTTTTCCTGCAGCAGCTGACCTGAAACCAGTCTTTTCTATAATTGTAATTCCTTAAGCAAAATTACTAAGCTGATGGGACTAGAGACAAATAACGAAGAACAAAGACAACCAAGACAAAGATCAGCTGTGTTAAGTTGCTCTGTGCTTGGTTATTCCCTGCCAGTGAGGTGGCCTACAGAGGCATCACAGAACACTAGCAGGTGGGTCTAGATGTCCTTCTATTTCTGGCTTCTTCTGGCCAGCAGTAGGGGATGCTTTGTCTGTCCGAGGCTTTCACAACAGCATTTGGATTTATTTGCAATGTTGGCAATTTTAAGCTGGGAGTTATGAGTAGACATCACATTTTTAAGCTTCTACCACATGAGAGTCTCTGCTTCATGGCCCTGGCAAAAAATCTTGGTGCCTCTGTTGGGATAGTCATAACCATAAATGTAGAATGACAATTGGCATTTCTGCAGATGATACCAAATGACACCATCTACTGTCAAGACTAACAACTCAGGCTTGAAAGATGTAAGCAAATGCCTTTGGGTTGGCAAATGACTTTGGGTTGGCTCAGGGACTTGTCACCAAGTTCCAGGGCTGGGACGTCTTGCTGTGAGCGGCTGCGGTGGCACGACCAGTCCATCTCTGCCCTGAGCAGTCCATCAAGGCTTATTGGTCATGCCCAGACATACTGTGTAGCTCCACTTGAAATTTAATCCCTTTGCACAGGTACCAAAGGTCTTTATAATCAACTAGTGTCCTTGAGCTGGCCTTCTCTGCAGCTCTGGTGTGCACAGCACACCCTTGTCACAGGCATGATCCAGTTACACAGAAATACTTGTTAGCAGGTGCAAGATGTTCATGTGCCTTGTCTGAAGGGTAAGAGAAGTGCTAAAACATAAGAGCCAGTAAAAAAATACAATTTATTGATTTAATTTGGGTCATGAAAATGGTGTCCTTTAGGCAAAAGAATTATGAAAGAAGTACACGTAGTCATTGTAGTTTTTAATAAAGAGTCATTATTTTTCCATGGCCTTAAATACTAATATAAATTAAATATCATATAGATATGTCAGTAGCTTATTGATATTGATACTCTCTCAATATTTTCAGTCCTGAGCCATCAAACTAATTATAGCTCTGAAACATAAAAAGGTTAAAAATATTAAAGCAAATAATGCAGCTTTCTTTTTAATTTCTGGTTAAGGTTTCAAATACAGACTTCCTTGGGAAAATAGCCATTTCACTGCCAGCTGTGTGAGTTCAGTAGGGACTTTGGCAGGAATTCTATTTATGGATTTGTACAAAAGTTGAAATTAGGTTTTGCTGCCTGAAATTAAGGGATGTATCCTAAAAAAAGTTTTGCCCTTACAGCTCTATTCAATTACTGGTACTGTTACATAGTTTTATAACAAGTGGTGTGATTTTTCTATAAAGTGATGGAACCGCTCCCCACTCTGCAGATTTTAGGACATGGAGAATGACTTTTTCCAGTTAATACTCTATTATTCAAAATCAATATTTAAATATTGGAACTGTAATTTATACTTTCAGTCTATCTGCTTTGTCTCCAAGATCCTAGTCACTAAAGCAAAGAGTGCTGCTTACTGCAGACAATAACTCATATTTTAGAGAAACCTGCAGTAGATCTTTTAATAAACTGTGATAGATACAAGCTTCTGCCAAAAGAAGCTCCTTCTTGACCTTTGTCATTTCTGAATGCATTGTAGGTGTTTATCAACTGTATTTAATGCAAACAAAGAGCTAATTATGGGGGTTTCCACCTTTACTGATTATGATCTCTATAAAAATACACATTATTGTCTTACCTTCTGCAAAAAAAAAGAAGTGGTTTAAATAACTGATGATTAACTGTAGGATTTTACATTAATTTATCCAAAGCATGTATTCTTATTCACAAATCTATTTGACAGCTTTGATTAGAGTGGTGAGTGTTAGGTGGAGAGTGGTGGGCTAGGAAATGATCCTCACCAGCTGCTGTTCCTCACCTTGATTGCTTTCCTTACTTCTGTGGAGCTGCCTTTTTTGTAAGTACTGCCTGGTTGTGTTGAAGGGGCACCGTGGTGTCAGTGCCGCGGCCGCACACGGGGGACGCGCAGCCTCTCCCTCAGCACAGCTGACCTGAGTGGTTCACGGGGTGAAAGGGGGGGAGTTCTGTACCCACAGGAAAGCGATCTGCTGTAATCCTCTGCAGACCGAACATTAGGAGAAATGTGATACCTTCATATGTACAGCATCATTCTTGGGATTGTTTTCACTCATTCAGCTTAACTAGAGAAGGGGCAGTTTCCAGAACACTGGAGCAGAGTCTTCCTTGATTGCTAGTTGAGGCATGACAGCACTGTGCAGTCTGACTGCAGCTAGTGGCAATTCCACAGGTCATCAGAAAAGATCCTTCCCATTTTCAGGCTTGCTTTCCCTTATCAGTGGGCTAATTTACTTCCTGAATGCATTAGCCTGTGCCTAGTCCCCTGCATGTGCTGGACAAATGTGCTTGATGCAGAGAGCTACATACATTCTGTGTTCCACAGGCCTCACAGTATTGTAGAGCACTCCGTGGCACAATGCAGCACCAACATACCATGCCTACCACAAAGTATTTGTTTGCAGAAATCTTTCAAATTTAGTGTCACAGTAATTCAGCTAATAGGGGCTCCAGTAGTAACAAGTTTCCAATAGGCTCCTTCCATGGCCATCAGTTCATCATGAGTGCCCCTTTCGATGACGAGTCCCTGGGACATCACTGCGATGATGTCAGGCATTCTGGATGGTGGACAAGCGGTGGGCAATGACGATGCAGGTCCGCCCTTCTCTGGCCTTATCCAGCGCTGCCTGCACAGTCTAAAGGCAACAAAGAAAACACGCAAAACAAATCAGGCCTCAGCGCTGCAGATTGCTTCAGATTAATTACCTTTTAAAAGTGACAAGTGAATGAGGCTAAATCAAAGGTTATGGTACTGGTGTGCTTAGCTGGGTCACGAACTCTGTTCACAAGCAGTACTAAGGAGGAGCAGGTAAACACAGACAGCAGAAGAAATTAATGAAGGCCTTTACTCAGGTGATGTGGTAAGTGTCAGCTCAGTGTGGATATGGTTTTAAATTCCACCATTTCTCTAATCTCTGCAAGTAACCAAGCAACACAAAGTTCTTAGGTCAAGTTCTTAGGCCCCTCACTGCTGTTTTTATTGGGTAGTCAGGCTTATGATTTGTATGCATTATTACATTTTTTGTTTGTTGTTTTTTTTTAATGTACATAGTTACATTTATGAACTATTCCCATGTGAATGCTTTGTAACCCAGGCAATTAGTATCCACATTTCTGAAAAAGTGCTGCCTCTCATGGACAGTTTAGGAGCCCTTGGAGCTGACTGCTTTTTTTTTAAAGCTGTGCCTCCTGCATCTTTTGGAAAGATCATTAAAGGTGGAAGTGCTGAATTCACAGTACAGAATAATGTGCGGTCCTGTAGTGGAGTAGGTTGGGATGTCTCTATAGAACAGGAAGGCCTTGTAAGCCATTGTATTAACTTTCCCGTGTCGCTCATCACTGCACATCTACCTTTTCGCTTTCTGTGTCCAAGGCAGAGGTAGCTTCATCCAGTAATAAAATTTTAGGGTCTCGGATGATGGCCCTCGCTATGGCAATGCGTTGCTTTTGCCCACGAGACAGCTGGGACCCTTGAGCCCCAACATTAGTTTCATATTTCTGAAAAATATACAAAAGGCAGATTTTATTCAGGTGTAAGCAGTACACAGCCTGAAGGAAGAGCAGGAGGAGAGAGGCAAGAGTGCTGCCCACAGCTGCCTCCTTCTTACAGAACCCAGGGATGCAGAAACACTCTGCAGTGCTACGCATCTGGGGAGAGGTTTCCAAGCCATGCTTTGCCTGCATGTGCTCAGAGGCCCAGGCAGCAGAGTGAGCCTGAAGAAAACTGTGATAGCAAGATGCTGGCTGATTTGTCTGAGGCAAAAAGAAATCCCCTGCCCTAGATTTGGAAGAAGATGCTAAAGGTGCTTCCAGGGCTTGTTCTGTTTGTGTCCTTGAATTGTATCCATATCTTTTATGTTCTTCTGATTTATGTTTATATGATTTCAGTGCATTTAAATACTTATTAAGGTGAACATAAGCAGCCAGCTTCAAATACTTTGTCTAAATACCATGCCCTAGTCACAGCTCTCAAATCTCTCACAGCTGAGAACAGGATTTATATATTTGCCTACTGGATAAGAAGCCAGTAGCAACTCACAACCACAGTTTCAGGAACACAAGGTGTGGTCATGGAACCCCCTTTGCTCTACAGCTGTAAAAGGACATAAAAGGTGAACCTGTGTAACAACTTTAACTGGGTTTGGAGCAAACCCCACTGCAATGAGCACTGAACAGCCTGTCTGTAGTTCCACAGCCAAGGCCTGGCAGGTACTTACATTAGGTAGGGACATGACAAAATCGTGCAGTTGAGCCTTCTGGGCTGCTTCGATGACTTTTTCCATGGTCGCCTCTTTCGTGTTACTGCCATATTTGATATTATCAGCAATACTGCAGTCAAATAGCACAGGCTCCTGTGACACTATTCCAATTTTTGATCTAAGAAACTCTACGTTTATATTCTTAGAGTCGTGTCCATCTATTAACTACAAGGAAATGGGAGAAAACTTGAAACATCATTAGGAAACAACAGCCTGCAACACCCAAATAGTTTATAACAAAATTAAATGATTGAACCATATGATTAAAATGCGAACACCACTGATTTAAAGTGATTGGAAGAATTGCTTATATTTGACTCCTTTGTGCATGATGTATATTTTGTGTTATGGCTTTGATCCAGCCAAATGCTAGACCATTTGCTCAATATTAAGTCCTAGTGAACTATTTAATTGCTTGAGATTAGGCACATGCTTTATTGCCTTCCTGACATGGTGATCACCACAAGGATTTTTTCCAAGGAAAGAGAAATCAATCTAGATGGGTATTTACATCAGGAAAACATATAAAAGC